GATTGATGAATTGATGTTTTATTTCTTTGAGATTTATACAAAAGGCCATAGTTAATTCCGTCCATGCCTTTGATAAATTGTGCAAGTTTTCTAAAAATCTAGTGAACCAAATGGTCTTAAGTTTATAATAAGAATGGTATAGGTTGAAATTAGAAAACACCAAGAACAAACTTGCATATAAATATATAATTAGAAAGTATTTGCATATAAATACATACACAACTTCCCTTACATGATGCCTTCACCTGCAAAGAATAATAGCATAATAAAATTAGTGACTACAAACACTTTGATCATTGAACTTACATTGATAATCTTCTGGGAGCACTACTCCAACACTGCTTGATTGAGAAGGAAATATCTAATTGTAATTGTAAATGTATTAGCAAAAACAGTGACTTCCATTTAACATATCTCTTCATTGTTTCTTTTGCAAAAACACCAGTAGAAGAAGCAATGAGTGAACACAAGCAATTGTGGCCTAGAACATTCACTGCTTTGCAACAATTTACATCTGGATTCTCAAGAACAGTGCCAGATGCCACACGGGACGCATTCTTTGAGAAGATGAGCTCGATCACACTAAGAAGTCCTGCAATTGGGGAAATGGCCAATTGAAACCAAGCTGAGGATAAGAAGCTGTAGTGCTTTAGAATCCATTAGAGGCAACTCCACAGGTAGCAGCAAGGAAGCCTAGTTCTTAGCTAACAAGTAAAGACATGTGAGCTGGTTTGACAGAACGAGCTACATTGTGATCAAAGTAATGGACTTGAAGATTTTAAAAATACAAGCGAAATATTTTACTAGAACCAGTAAGAAACAAGAACCTTGTCACTCTCTCTTAGCTTGTTGCAACTTGCCTAGTCGAAAAACCGTACATTGCCTGCCCAAACCCAGCTTTGCCTATAGTCTTTTGCCTATTATAGCAAACATGGCCGAAGTGCGAAGGAAAATTGACGATCGAAGTTTCTTTCCCCGTGACCATAGCTCATCAGATAGATAGATATTCACGCGCTTTAAAGAGATGCCACAACGGAGCCTTAGTCAGACACGGTTTCTAAATCAAGGGATGATCACGATTAAAGGTTTATCGAAACTTCTCCGGTCAAATGAAATCCACGTAACAAGAAACTGCGGACCGCCACCTTTCTTTTTTCTTTTCTATCCACTTGCCTGAGGCTGTCTCCAAAAGTACACACATTTGTTGCCAAGTTCTCCTTCCTTATAGTTCCATCATGGAGCAAGAAAGGTATACATACGTTCTTGAGATCACATATGTATACGTCTATACGCCTTGACGAGAAAATAGCTGATCCATATTTGGACCCTTGAACTGTTGGATCGATTTTTGGAGCACGAAACACAGTATAGCAAATGTAATGTGGGATCCTCGAGGCCTTTGCTCATATTTGAGGTGCCGAAATCAGACATTGATGGTGTTTAAGCACTATCTCATTTTTGCCATCAAGCATTCCAATGGCGAGCTCAAAATGGTTGGGTGCTGTGGAGGTACACAGAAGAAGATATGGTCTCTTTGGTGATAAACAATCCCTAGTGAGAAAGTATTTGCATATAAATACATACACACCTGCAAAGATGCAAAACAAAATCAATATCAATCGTGGTGCTTGAGGATTTTATGGCTTTGACAAAGTCGTACCTAGGGTGAGTTCTATATCCACCAAGTCAATCAAGGAACGGGAAGATGTCAGCAAATCTTTCAATATTTGGGGGATTTTGGGACATGGATAGTTCCAGGAGTAGAGATTCCACAATCGGCTCTTGGCCGTGTTCACTGTGCAGCCAGATCCTAAGAATTCAGCGCATCCACCTCGAAAAGGAGGAGGTGATCGTACGCAGTCCTGTACACCCTAAACAAAATAAGATTAAACAACGTGTTGGCGAACTCTTAGCTCGCTGTGCGGCTGCGATGACCAATCTTGGCGAGATCCAGAGCTCCGTTTCGAGTGTGCTCGCAATCTCTTTGAAAGTCCAACCGTCCAAGTTTGCCATCGGTGAATCGTCTGGCTCGAGGATCAAAGTTCCAAAGGAGCTGGACGATGAAAGCCCGGAAGAATCCTTGGGATCTAACAACGCGTGCTAGGAAGCAGATCGTGATTCAGCAAAAGGAAGCGCTCATCTCGTCCCTGTAGTTCTTTGAATTTTCTGGAACAAGTTCTAGAGTTTGTTCTTTGATTTTTGGCAAGCTCAGCAGCTCGAGGCTCCGGAGAGCCCGCTCGACTTTGAGCAGCTCAGCGCGAAGTACACGTAGCTCCAGCAGGATCACCACTCCGTGTGCCACCAGCGAGACGTGCTGCTCCAGCAATTCCCGGATCTTCAAGATCAAGGTGAAAGGTCACAGAAGGGGTAGAGTTCCAATTCATGTCGGTTGTAACCCAATTGATGGAGAGAGCTCGTCTTGTAGTGTATCACCACAAACTTATCCGTAGACTGGAATGTGGAGGGCGTTCCGAGGCGTTCGTACAACGTATTTGTACATACATTTAGGTTAGGCTACAGTCCCCTCTACGCCAAAGCTGCAAAAAATGCTGCCATGCCGCCACTCGGGAGATTCGAACCCCCGACCCAAAGGTCCTAGTTGATGGCCTGTATGGCAAACTAATTACTTCTAGAATAATGAGCCCATTTCTCACATCATAGCAACGATTCTTATACTACGTTGGAAACTGCAACAGACCCCCTCCTCGGCATGATGTTTCAAGAGCATCCTGAACGTGAAGTGAATGTTATGCTTTATGCTGACAAGGGCCCAATGTCCTTGTTCTTCCTAGACAAAGCTTGTAAAGCATACATCGAAGGCATTACACATGTAATCTTCGACAAGGGACGTTTATGGAATGCACTCCTGGCGTGGATGTGATCAACAAAGCAGCACCATGGGGATAAACTCCGCGAAATAAAGATGGCCTAAATGGAAGTCTACTTAACGACTGCAAGTCCCCGATCTTCAAGACCAGTTCAGAGCTTCCCACTCGTAGATTGCGCGATTACAACTCATAGAATGAACTCCTGGCGTGGATGTGATCAAGAGGATCATCACAAGCAGCACCATGAGGATAAACTTTGCGAAAAAAAGATGAAGTTCTAGAATCAATAAGTACTTCCAATTCATTGAGTCATGCCTCTTATATCAATAAAAGCAATAACATCAATAGAGTGAGGTCGTGAACGAGACGGTTTGGAGAGGGCTTCCACAGTGGTACTGCTGGATGATATCAGCCAGTGAGTTGACAAGTCGACTATCCATGGGCTTCACCAAGGGATTCCTCTGTGGTACAAGCACGAAATCATACGTGTGGTTCCTTGCATTGAATGGATTTGGGTATGGAATGTTCTTGCTGGTGTTGGAAGGAGATACATAAGGCTCCAAAATGCTGCCCTTTACAGCTCCTGTACCAAGCCACCATTATCACATTTGTAAACCAAAACATATAAGTTGAAGTTACCTGTGCTGCCCGCTGGGATGTTTGCAATCCAAAAGTTGATGTAAGGGTAAACCTTGTTTTGTGCTGACAATGCCTTTTGATCAGCCATAACCACCGAGAACAAACTAACAGTGCCATTCTCACCACACGCTTAAGAAGAGAATATCTCATGTGTGCCTTTGTAGAAAACACCTGGTATCTCTTGAGAAAAGCTTGACGTTCTATAGCAGCACTTACATCCAACGGGGAGTGTCCGATCATCCTCTCAACCAGCTGCATAATCGGCGACCATTCTTGATTAAACAGAATTGCTCGTGGTTCACTAGAGCTTCCATTAAAAGGCTTTCATCTTCGAGCTGGTATGCATCCTTGCTCAGAAAACAATTTCTTTTCTTTTCTTTTATTACCTTAACTCGGCCTGATTGAACTACACCGGACTCCAAAAACCGCCTCTGTAGAACTGCCAGACGTAAAGGGAGGGGACTCCAGGCTGTCTGCGGCTGAAAAATGGACGTGAAGATCATAAAACTTACTGCGAAGTTTTCTTCTACTCCTGGTTTCCTGATTGGATTGGAGGAAAAGCATACGAATACGCGAAGTTCCCAGGCCGACAGGTCCGATGCTGTTCTGAAGTGAAGATAACAAGAATTATGCATGGAGAGAAAACTTGAAAGGCCTTCTTTGTGTTTACTTGGTGTTTGTTCACTGTAGGAATCCGAACCGCGAGAAAAATCTTCTATAGAAACAGGTGCTTGCCTTGAGCCAGAAAATCAAAATAAGCAAACGCAGTCACTGCGCAAAGTTAGACCTGTATATGGATGATCACGAACAGTCGAAGAAGGTTGCTGCTCATTCCAGGATTGGCTGCAGCGCCATTGTTTTCTTGGAGTTCGGGGCCAGGCAGCTTGTGTAAGCTGCTCTTCCAAGTAGTACCACGCGGGTGCCTGCAAATATCCTTAACTAGTACTTGAAGAAGAAAACTTTACCTGTTTCCCCGAGGAGGTTTGTGTACTTTATGTACCACGCTCTGTCGAGCCTCTTCAAGGTCCTCCAAGAACAGTAACAATTTCCGGGACGAGAAGAAACATCCCCCGACATTCCTTTCGCATTGGAAGAAAAGAAAATTCAAGGCAAAGACTTGTAATACTTTGAGCTGTGGGGTAGGACGATACTCAATGCCAAAAACTCGTTGAGCATCATCGGTCATGGATAGCTTCAAGCTTCGACTTCCAATTCCTTCCTGGTAGTGATCCTTGAAAATGTCCACCGCTTCATCTACCTGTGTGCTATGCTTCCATCGATGAAAAGCTATAGAAACCTTCCACTTACTTGTAGAACATAAGTGCATCGCCTGGACCTCTGGAGCGTCGGAGGAGCTGCGCGAAGCATTTCTCGGCGCGAGAGTCTACCGGTAACTGAGACGCTCCGATCTGCTCGCACAGGCAAGAAGAGAGCCACTGCGCCTTAGGCGAGAACCGTAAAACCCTACTATGGTTCTAAACATCCCGCCATTTTGCGAGCTTGAAAGGTTCCAGGAATATGCTTGCCAAGCAGGGTCTAGGGTTTTATGGCGCTTTGCCGCTTCTCTCGCGCACTCTCTTCTCTTCCAGATCGCGCATTGCGGCAATTCGCTCCTGCGGCGCCGAGGAGATCGTTCCCCAAGACGCGCCACGGCGTGACATGGGACGATCCCTACCACTGGCTGCGAAATTCCGAGGATCCGGCCGCCATCGCGTATCTCCAGGCTGAGAATCAGCACGCGCAGTCGACCATGGCTGGGACAAGGGAGCTCCAGTGCCAGATCCGCCAGGAAATGGCGAGCAGGATGGAGAAGGAGCTCGCATCGCCTCCAGAGCGCTGGGGGGATTGGTGAGTTCTTCCTTGCTCGTTTTGATTTTTTTTTGCCTAGCTGAGGAACTTAGAAACAATGTAGGTACTATTTCGTGCATATCCCGCAAGGGAAACAGTTTCCCATCTACTCGAGACGAAGAGCCCGCCAAGGTGGAAGGCTGAAGGCTTTCTTTACAAGTTTTTTTGACAAGAACAGTGAAGTTATGATCGACATCAATGAGCTTGCTGCCGAGCACGGTAAAGTTTTGAGGATCTTTCCTTGTTTCTCTCTTCTTCCTAATTACACAAGTGTAGGCCATGCGCAGCTTGGAGTTTTTAAGCTATCCAGAGACCACAAACTGTTAGCATACACGATCGACTTGGGTGGCAACGAGATGTTCACATTGTTTATCAAAGACTTGGAAACTGATAGCCTCCTCCTGGAGCACAAAACCGATGGTGTAGTAAGTGTGCAGTGGTCTGATACTGGAGAATATCTTTACTACACTTGTAGTGATGTGGCACAGCGACCTCACAGGTTTCTAGTTGAAGTTTCTTCTAGAATCATTTTTTCTCGATCTCGACAGGGTTTTGTTGTGGAACTTGCGATCTAAAGATGATGACATTGCAATTTATCACGACGACAATCCAAAGAACTTTGTTGATGTTACAAGAACCAAAAACTGGCAGTACGTTTTGATTAATGTCAACTCAAAGACGTCCTCTGAGGTAATTGCGTTTCACAAATGTGTTGCTCGAGCCTCTACAGGACAGATTTTTCTGGTAGATCCGAAAACTTCAGCCACAACATTGCGGAAAGTTGCAGATAGAGTTGATGGCATCCAGTATTTCGTGGAACACCATGAAGAGCACCTGTATATTCTTACCAATTTTTTGGGCGACAAGAAGCTAGCGTCGCTAGGAAACAACTATCGGCTTGTCCGCTGCAAGACAGATAGCTTGACCTCGAAGGCGTGGGAGGTAAGTCAATTCTCGTTTTTTTCACAGCAAATACTGAAACACTTTAAGAGGTTGTCCCAGTCGAGAGCGAAAATTGGATAGAGGATATGGATATTTTTGCGAAGCATTTGATCTTATACAGACGACAAAATGGTCTTCCCATTGTGCATGTTTTCAACCTGGATGTAAGCATATGGTGAAAGTTTTGGTCTCACTAATCTCTTTCCTTTCAGAGCCTGAAAACTCCTCCTTGGACTGTAAACCTTCCCTCCGGGATAACAGTTCTTACTCCTGGAGCAAACTGTGACTTCAATTCGTCTACTCTACGGCTGTCGATATCTTCACTGGTGGTAAGCTCTCTTTCTTTCTTGCATTAGATGTTCGGCAATATAAAGATTGGGCATGTAACGAAATCTGGAGAAATAGCGGGGCCACGTACATTGGAGCACATGGTTGATGTTTGTCTTCACTCGGAGGTAAGAGGTTTTTATCTTTGTTCGTTTGAGGTTGCCATATATTTCTTGTCTCTAGGGAGACCGTCTTTTGTCTCAACGGCTTCTAAGATCACTAAAAAATCGCTTCGCTTCTACGAAAGAGGTGACTGTCTTCCAGCACTTGCTTTTAAATTGAATCTCGCTGTTTTATCTTTAGTACAGGTCGGCGTGTTTGAGATGGTCGACAACGGTTTACGAGCGGTAGAAAATCCCAGTTTGAAGTTTCTTTCTGATAGAACTGGGGAGGACACTAATGCATCAGCCACCGTTGGGGTGGCTTTGGAAGGATCTCGGCCGCTGCTGGTTGAAATCCAGGTAAGCGACTTCTAGGATTTACGTTGGATGATGATACTTTTAGCCAAATCTGAGCGTTGTCTGGCTGCTCTAGCTTTCCAGGTTCAACGAGAGACCGGTGGTAGATTCTTTGGAATTTCCCGAGTTTCGAGTGAGCTGGACTGCCAAGAACCTCTGACTTGCCATGATCTGACTTTAAAACCGAGAAGCGTATCTGACAACGATCAAAAGCTAAAGTTTTCTCCGGCATGAACGCGCGTTTTGCAGGTCTTATGCTCTCCTGCCACTTCACTGCCAAGTAAAAGAACGTTCACTGGAGTGGATCCATCTCGATTCAATCTGATTGTTGCCGTAAGTCACTCCATAAATATTCTCCACTTTTGTGAGGCTTGACGCTGTGATGCCAGGTCTTACTCAAACAAGCGCGCTTGAGACTTGCAAGACAGGTGCGTTCTATACTTTGTGATAGCAAAAGTTCTTATGCTGAAATACTGCTCTAGGATATTTTTGTTAATGTCGTTGGAGGCTTTCGTTTGGAAGAGCCCGCCACAGATATTGCTGTTGCCGTCGCTATTGCCAGCAGGTACTTTCTCTCGACTAGCTGGGCATACCAACTCACGAGCTTCGTCTTGCTTGCAGCTATATAGAAAGGCCGGTTCCTCGGGACACAGTCTTCGTTGGTGAGCTAGGACTCGGGGGAGAGCTGCGCTTTGTAAGTTCTTACGTGGTTTCTCACTTTTCAATGCTGGAAGTTCCGTCCATGCAGGTAGCTCAACTCGAAAGGCGACTGTTTGAGGCATCCAAGCTGGGTTTCAAGAAATGCATCGTCCCACAGGGTGCTAAAGGAGTCAAGGTGGACGGAATGGAGCTTATTCTTTGCTCGAGCCTCAAGGACGTTCTAGAGAAAGTCTTCAACTACAAGAGCCTGCCCCAGCAGCGAAAGAGTGGAGCCACGGTTCATTTGGATGCGTTTCCGGAAGAAGACGGGGTGTGTGGTGAGGTCCAAGTCGGTCAGGACGCTCTTGACGATGATCTTGCTAATGATAAGTAATAAGCTTTTGCATCGTAAAATTTTAATGTCACAGGTGTACATATAATCTAGGAGCTTATACGAATTGTAAATAACCATATCGTTCCAAGGATATAGATCTAGCAATACGATTGGTGGTCTTGATTGTTCTCTTAGCCTCAACAGGCATCACCCAGAAGAAGGGGCTGTGATTGTCTCCTACCTTGGACAGTGCTTGGAGCAATCGCGTGTGCCTTCCTCGTCGTGCAGTGGCTGCTTGGAACCAGTGGCACGTAGAGATTGAGCCACAAGAAGAAGAGTGAATCTTTCCGAGATGACCAAAGATGACTCTAAAGCAATAAAATGCTTGTTATTAATAATGTAAAATGAATTAACCTAGAAATTAATGAAAACATGATTTAATTAAGATTATTATTCCTCCAGATTATCTTCTTAAAAACTTTTTCATAAAATGTTACTATTAATTGTCCAGTATCTTCTATTTTTAAAATTGCAAATACTATGCAGTTTGAGTAAAATATATGATTTTTCCATATAATGTTATTGTTATTAACTATTATAAGTAAATGACCATCTAGTTGAAGATGAAGATAACAAAATATATTTGATCTTTCTGATATTGTAGACCATATACTTTTGATTGTTTCAATATCATCAATAACAAAATTACAATTTTCTAATTTAGCTCGAAATTTATTATTAGAAGAAATTAAACTATGACTATTTATTATAAATGTGCCATAAAAATTTAGAGGACTGTTAAGTAGTTGTGTTCAATATGGCCAACATTGTAAAAAAAAACATCAATTCTACTATATAAAATATTAAGAGATAGATTAGGATAACCTATATCAGAATATGGCTCATGAGGATCTCTCACAGAATTTATTCCAAGTGCAATAAAATAAAAATATAAATTATCTATATACGGTTTCAATCATTTCTAGACCATGTAATCTTGCATGATATCCTACTAATCTTAGCATTTCTAAAAAAGTTCTTCTAACACAGAAAACTGATAATTATCAGGAAGTGAAAAATTTCTAAAACCTAAAGGAGTTGTTGAAAATATGTTGATTACCAAAAAGACCAAACAGTCCAATCCATCTAGTTTGAGGTGGTTGTGCATTCGATAAATTAACAATTATAAATAATAACAAGAAACTAAATATCATTTCAGATTTAATAAGAAGTTTTTAGAAATTTACTATACTAGGTAGATGAAGAAAGGTGTTTAAATGTATGTAAAGAAATTCTAGACTATGTATAAAATGATTTTTCTTAATTAAAAAATAATAACTACCTAAACTTTATTATATAATATTTAATCTATAAATCATTAAAGGCATAATTATATTTAGTTTTAAAAATTATAATAAATAATTAATTTTTTAGTATCTTAATTATATTAAATGAAATCATTAATATATTTTAATTGATAAATAAAATTTAAATTTAAAACTAGTACAAGTATTTAATTAATAAATTAATAATTATCTTCTGTGAGGTTCAGATATACAGCTATGATGCTAAATGCTATTATTAGCATAGTAGGATTCAGATTAGATTAAATAATTTAATAATTTTAGGCTTTTATATTTCATTCACTCATTGATCCTTAAGGAGTGATTAGATTTATGTTTTCTAATTTAAATCTAACTTGTCCATCACCTAGATCTCTTTTTTTTGTAATTTTTCCATTTTGTCTCTTTTGTTTTTCTTCTTTTCATTCATTTTCATGGTAGAGTAATTTACTCCTTCTTTATAGCAGCATAATTCTATATAATATAAGAATCCTTAAACCCCAAAGTGGAGCTGAATGTGATTCATGTGGTAGTGGCCAAGGTAGAAGTCTGACGAGTGTAACACATTTGCATCAACTCGGAAAGTCAAAAACATAAGTGGAACTTTTAAAGAAGTGCTTAAGGAATAAACACGAAATCATTAGTAAGTGAGTTTCAAATAAAAGACAAAAAAATTACCAACATGTGGCAAGTGTTGTGATGTGTGAAAGACCAAGCTTGAGATAGAGTCCAAAACTGAGACCAAAATTGAGTCCAAAACTAAATTTAAAACCAAGCTCGAGTTTGAGGTGAAAGCCCAAATGATTGTTTCTCAAACCCTAAAGGGTCCTTATATAATCACCTTATATAACCTTATATAATCAAGGACAATCAAAAGTGCCCCCTTCCACCAATCTGAGTGCATAAAATATAAAAAAGGAATATAGAAAATGTGAATATCAATTAGCTCAAAATTCTTAATTTATATATAGGTGCAAATGGTCCAGATTGAAACTAATCCCATAATTACCAAAATCTAATTATGCTAATATTAGTATAGAACATCGTAACTGTACATTTGGATGTGGTAAAATCCTTTCCTTTCAATTTGCATTCTCCTAATCTGTGGGCTCTAGAGCTATGTTTCCAGTATGATAAAGTTTTTGCCAAATGGCCATACAGGATTGTGTTGAGATCTCTTGAGGTGGACCAAACACTCTCACTCTCTCTCTCTCTCTCTCTTAAATAGGGAGATAAAATTTAAAAAAATATATTTGTGAGGTTGTGGTCAAGTATAAAAATTTTCTTTAAGGATAGCTTTCGAGATTATTTCGTTTCCGCAAAGGGCACGCGATTTAAATTTTCAAACTAGTTCCAGTAGAACATGTTTGTATTTCTCATCCATGAAGCCGCCGCTGAGAACAAGGGCAAGGGTAGTAGAGACAGTTCCATCATGAATTTCTGGAAGGTCCTCACTTCTGATCTGCAACCCCTTCCAGATCATGCAATCTGGAGCATTCCAGTTTTTCCTGCATTGGTGGAACAAGCAATGAAGACAATATTATTAAATGGGGGATGCGGGGGTGGGGGGCGGGCAGTCAAGGATGCCCAAGAGAAATATCTCCCTCAGTACTTAACCGGCAGGTGGAGTTTTCTAAGCTGTGAAGGCTGAGATACCATGTCTCATCAACATTAGTGACTGGAGTCCACATTCTGATTTGCAGGCTCGTGCTCATGGGGTCAGACGAGCAAAGTAGGTATTAAAACTTGTTCCAGATGCTGTTACTCAAGTTTTTTCATTTGTCCAGGTGATGATCTATATAGGCTCCGCTAATTAGTGCTAGCGGAACTATTGAGGAGAGGATGATGCAGTTAACAAGAAGAACATGGTGGTTGAGCATCTCGTGGTATTCGCTCAAAATGCTTGGAAATGAGGGCTCATGTCTAAGTCAAGTTTCCCACAAAAGACCTCAGCATATCTTCCATGCACTTTGGGGTGTGAATGCCTGAGCTGTATAATCTAACAGTTGAAGCTTTGGCTTTGCAGTGATATGGATGTCAAGAACCGGACCTGGTAGTGGGGTAAGATGATATGATCTAGGGCTTGATGTCGTGGAGGCGTGACAAATCACGGTTTGATCAGGGTTTTTTGGTCTACAAAGAAGATCAGATCAAATTGGTGCTTCAACAGGTGCGTGAGAACAAACAATTTGACTAGTTCATCACTGCTTTTGACCTGTTTTCTCCTGTGCACATCCTTGGCCTATCAGCACACTGAGCAAGAATTGATTGAGCAGTACTGGTGGGGATGACAATATAGGCAAAGTCTGGTAAGAACATTATGAATCTCTTGCATCAAACACTGTCACCTCTCAGCATCATTGCTACCAAACTCCATGGACCAGAACCTCCTCCAGATCAACAACGACAACAAGCAACCCAGCAAGAGATGATAAAGTTTTTTTCTCTGTTTTTTATTTTATTTTTCATTTTTAGAATAAAATAAAGATGCTTAGTACATAAAACTTGAAAAATTATATCGATACAATGTTAGCGCAGAGGCCCTCCAAGGGTAATAAGGTCCAAGAGTGACCAGAGGTTTAAATTCAGTATTGACATGATATAACACAAATTTGTTTTAAAACAACAAATACAAGAATTAAAATTTAAGACCACCTTAGCCATGAAATTGTCGCTCTGTCAGATGATGGCATTCCAAGATACACATTTCTCACATGCATCTTCTGAAACTGTTCTATATGGAGTCTAAAACGCCCCTCAAAGTACCTATTCAGTGATTAGATCGATAATACTGTTGTCCAGGCATTGCAGTTGCATCATTGCCTGCTGCAAGTGCCCATTCCAGGCAAGCGCTACGAGCATGCCATTCCCTGAAACAACAGTCAGCTGCTGAATTCTGGCAAAGCACTGCCACGCATGTTGAATGCTGCCATTCTGTCCATACATCTTTGTTGGATTGTGGAACTATGGACACTAGAGAAATGTATATTCTACATTCAATTCATAAGAAGCATGCCATACTTCATAGAATATAACAAACCAGCTCCTCTTTATTTACGTATATGAATCCATGTCAGAGGAGCATAAGCTTACATGATTCCATAGCTAGACATTGGGTTGAAGCCCACAGGCACAACAGCAGCACTGAAGATCTGAACCTCCTTGAGTTCACCATGAAAGTAGCGTTTGTTGTCACGGGGGTCATAACCAATGAAGACAGGTAGGCTGGAATTGAGGTTGACTATCTTGGAGCCGTTCTGTGACTTATCAAGTTTAGAATCAACGTAGATAGACCCAACAGTGCCATTTCGGACTGCAGCAACATGGTGCCAAGTTCCATCAGTGACTGGCACTGTTCCCTTAATGTTGAACTGGTACTCACGATTGTACACCGTAAACCATAGATTGCCATTGAGGATCCATAGCCACCACTCACCATAGATATCAGAGCGTTGCTGGATGACGCACAGTTGCTGCTTGATGTGGGGTGGGACCTTCACCCAAGCATGAACAGCAAAATCAGTCTGCCCAGAGAGAGAGGGCGTGGTGCCCATGGAAATGTATGTTGCACCATCAAACACAATACCATCAGTTGTGTGAGCAAGTTGGGACCCGGCCTGCTTCACAAGCCCAGTTGCCTTGTTCCCAGACGAGTCTGCGACCAGGAAGCCTATCTTCTCATCCAGCTTCCACCATGCAAACAGTGACTTAGAGATGCCCACAGCCTCATCT